TAGAAGGAAGGAAGGAAGGAAGGAAGGAAGGAAGGAAGGAAGGAAGGAAAAAGATAAAGGAAAAAAGGAAGTCAACTTTCAAGGATCTATCTTGAAATCAAAGAGGGAGTGGCTGTTGGCATCACGAACCCTTCTGCATCCAAAGGAGAAGAAAAATACAAGAACAGCCATACTAGATGCGACCGAGTCCCCATCTCCCGGTTCTCCCAGGGGCCAAATAGATGTGTCTGGGGCAGCCAGAAGTGGGGCGGTGGGGTGGCTCCTTCCCATTAATATTTGGTTGGCCATCTTGAGAAGCTGGCTGTCGTATGGGTGGAACCACACATCTGATTTAGCAGAACGTGCCTGATGTTTGCTCCATCTCCAGCAACTGACCTTCCTGGCCATGCTTCTCTGTATGACACAGCAGCAGACACAGTTGCTGGTCTTTGCACTTTTGATTAAGACCAGGAGGATGCTGAGGAGCACAGCTTCCCCACCGGTGCAGGTCCCTCCGAAATGAAAAACTTTGCTGAAGTGAATCTTCTTCCTCCTCCCCAAATGCCCCCCTCGCTGCCATGCTTGGTAGGAACAGTGAATCCTGCCAGACCTCACTGGCTGCTCTCTGGCCAAAGGGAGGGTTGGGGTTCTGGTCCTGGAGACATGGCCCCCTCCCTCCTGGGTGTGTACAGACAGGGGGGGTGCCAGGAGTCAGGAGGGCCCTCTTGGGGAGAAGCTGTTTTGCAACAGGGAGAAGATCCGAGAAGCATCCCTCTGCTTTCTCCAGAGTGAGCCCCACAAACTCCCTACCACTCGAGGAGAGCAAGCTGCCTCCCAAGGCCCAAACGGTTCATCTGCACCTCTTCCGATCCTTGGGCATCCTCCAGTGACAGTCTGGTCCAAAGGGCTTGATGTTCTGCCCTTCTTGGCCAGCAGTGGCCCAGCTTCTGTGGCACAGGAGCAAATCTGGCAAAACAGCCAATTTCTGGGCCCCCCCCCACACCCCCCCCCCCACATTTGAAGGCACACCGTGGTGCAATTTGCATGCACACAGCCACTCAGACTGTCTCATGTGCATGCATGTTTGGTGGATGCATTTCCCTGTACAATGCACATGTGCACGCACATTGCGATCCATGTGCATGCACTATGTGCAACATCCTCACATGACTAGCTGGTTATTTACCTAGTAACTTACCTTCTTCCCCACCTTACCCTCAAAAGAAAAAAAAATGCATTTATGAGATAAAAGCAGCTATTTATTATGGCAAATAAGGCATCCGTCCAGCTCTGAACGATGCTCTTTCCCTCCTGCATGGATGCAGAAATGTGCATTGTTGCCACCTCCATGCCCGTCCCTGACTATTCCTGCTTCACATCTCGTGTTCAGACGTGGCTTGCTGGCTTTCCACTCGTCCCTCTCTCGCACTCCTGTCTGCACCAACACGAACACATGGATGTCTCCGCGGCAGTGTGCTTTCTTTCACTCCAACATGTGGAGAGGCTGGGGGGGGGGGGCAGGGGTTTCCGGCTTGCTGGCTTTCCACTCATCCCTCTCTCGCACTCCTGTCTGCACCAACACGAACACATGGATGTCTCCGCGGCAGTGTGCTTTCTTTCACTCCAACATGTGGAGAGGCTGGGGGGGGGGGCACTGGCTTTCCATCAGGCTGCCGTTCCCACGAACAGTTTCCCCGACATATTCTGAAAGGTTTCTAACCAATTGGTCCGAAAAGGGACCTTCAGATGTGCGTTTTGCCCACTCCCGGCTGGGCACATGGCCGGGAAAACACCCCGGTCCGCATGGAGGGAGGGGAGCGCAGGACAGACAGACAGACACACATCTATACAGCGACTTCCTGGTTCACGTGCAGATCACTCTAGACGTTCAGGCAGGATGGTCGCTGGTGACGCTCAGCGGGCGCTTCTCTTGTCCCGGAGCTGCCGAGGCAGGTCGCGCCCAATCCCCGAGTTCTACCCCACTTGCCTGGAACTTGGATTCTCACGTGCAGAGACCCGCCCTGCCCCGGGTCCCCAGGGCCCCGCTGCCTCCGCACGTCGGAGCGCCTTCCTCCGCCCCAC